ACCATGTGGCAGAGTAGAGGAAACGAACAAGCTAAAAAAAAGCTGTGGAGCCGTTCCACCTGACACGCGCGAGAATACGACCTGAGTAAACCCTGACCGCTGCTGGCTTACGTCCGGCTAATCAGGCAATTAGCACTGATGGGCTCTATTTAATTCTCGATGGATATCCCTGCCCCTGCTCGTTTATTTGGCGGTTGGAATCTCGCTGTCCGGCCCGTCAGAATGTCAGTATACGCATGGCTTCGACAGTGAAAAAAAAGGGTCCTCCCTCCGGCGTCCGGACCGATCGGAGGAGCAGCAGCGGCTTTCAGACTGGCGCTTTGGCGGTACGTGCGGTGTTGGATCTGTCTGCAGGCATTGTTTGTTCTCCGGCGACACGACGGGCCGAGTCGCAGTTGAGTGATGTGTCCGCGTCCCCTACGTGCGTTTTGTACCTATGCGCCCCTTCGCTTCAGCTAGGAGCCTAGGACTACCTCTCTCTCGGGCGGTGCGCCGGAGTGGCTGCCAGGACGGGACGGCGCTGTGGGGCGGTGGACGACAGGGAGGGGCGGCGCACATCAGGCTAGGGCGCCGGAGGGTGCAGGGGCGGCACGGCTCCAGCGGCCCCCGGCAGGGAAGGGCGTGCGTAGGTGCGAGTGCAATGCAAGGCAGGTTGGGGCGGCCGATTCCTCGCAGTTTATTTCGTCCTCGTGGGTGGGCAGCGCGAGGCATGTGGAAGCTTCGAGATGAAGGGGCGCGGCAGCTGATCGGACGACCGCGTGGCTGATCAGACGGACTGAACGAACTGGTGACGTGGAAGCAGGAGGTGTTCATTTTGGTATACAGCATTAAGGGAGTATATGGTAGATTATACTAACATTCCTAGTCAACCGTTGCAACAAAACAGGGAGATCTAGAAACCGCGGTCATCCATCCATCGCCATGTTTGGAGATCCCATCTGAATCGCGGACCGGACACGCATGTAACAGGAACTAAAAAAGGAGCATTCGACCTCTTCGTGCTCTTATCTCCCCCGAACATCTTGTTTGACTTGCGGACATCGAGGCCCTGGATCCAGGAACAAAAAGCCAGAGCAATCCACACGGACACGGAGAGGAAAATCATGGAAGCGTTTTTTTTATGGGGACGAGAGGGCGCAAAACGGATTCAGATTAGCGCGTACTCCTACGTAGTACAAAAATAGGAGTACACGAAAGCACCAACAGCTCCTCTTCTGTGCAACAGACATCTCTGCAGGCTGACTTTTGGAGCCCTGTTCTAGAGGGAGACAGAAAAAAAATGGTGGTCGTTCGGATCAATCGTGTCGTCGGCCTCGAAACAGCTGCGGAAGCCGGAAGAAACATCTGCGACCACGCCTTCCCACGTGGCCGGCACATGAGCAGCCATCGGCGCCGGTTCGCTCGGGCGCGCCCACGTGCCGCGCGAGGGCGTGAGGCGTGTCTCGTGAGGCGCCCGGCGCATTGCTTGGATCGCGCGGTCGTGCTGTGCATGCATGCATGGCCGCGTCCAGGGATGAGAACGCTTAATTCGCTCCAGTTCGTTAGGATTAGGTCATGTCATGTATGGCTCGTTGAATTGGCAATAATGCCGTGCACCTCGTACCACCTCGTACGTACGAGGGCCATATACAATGAGAGACGCCATGTGTTTTTCCATGCGGTGACGCGGCGCGGATCGGGCGACGTACCTTGCGGTGCCAGGCTGCATTGGTGCGCGGCGCGGACGGCGACTCACGCGGCACGACGGAACGATGCAGACTTGCAGAGAGGAGATGGACCGACACGTGCTGGCTCTCCTTACGCACGACAATACGACATGTTTGTTTCCACTTTCCTTCTCTCGACCGACCATCGCTGCACCTGCTTCCGTGTTGTGCACATCAGCACACATCATCCGTGCTTCCATCATGTTACCACGGGGGGATTCACGTGAGCACAGAACACACCGCTAGATACTTCTTCGTTTTATACGTGTTGTTTTAAGTGAAACGATACTAATTTCTGAAAAAATCCTTACAGTTTTACAAAATGTTGATTATATATTATAAAAGTGTTTTCATATGAATTTAAAAACATAAATCATATATTATGAACTTATATATTTTATAGAGACCGATGGTCAAAGATATAAAATGTTTGACTTAGAATAAGCCTGATGTGACATGTAAATAAAAAGGATAGAGTATTTAGGTACATTCGAATATATTTTAATCTAAAACATTTTACGTCCAAAAAACCAAAAAATAATTAACAAAAAATTATGACAAATATATGCATGTCTGTTCCACTCGCAATCGAAATACAAATCATGGCAACATAAGGTACAATGTTATACCCTGGGGTAAAGCTAGTGCTGGAGGCACCAAATGCCTCGTTGCTACTACTTGGGTTCATTTCATTTTTTTTAAATTACACGGTACAACGTCGATGCCCACAATACCCACGCACACTTACCCTTATGAACACACGTACGTAAACTCTCCCCTTATGAGCATCTTCGAAGGACTAAGCCGATAGATCTTGAGATTCACGAAGTCACCACAGGGCAGGATCTCGAGATTCACGAAGTCACCACAGGCGCCTCGCTGTCGACAGGGACGTCGCCTACTGAAAGCATAGCGCCATTGAATCCTGAAATAAATCCAGCAAAACGCGAGCACCTGTGCCAAATCGAGGACTTGAACCCGGGTAGGCAGGTTCCACCACAAGAAACCCAACCAACTGATTTATGATCAGTTCGCTCTGTTCATTTCATTGACCAACCATGTTTGATGTAGTCGATCAATAAAGGGTGATGCAGGGAAGAGAGGAAGTCGTGTAATCGCCATCCGCGCCATGTAGTCAAAGACGAGCAGGGGCGCCCTTTTATAACAGAGGAGGAACAACATGTAGGGGACAAAAACATGACATCGAGAAAGATTCCATCAATTAGTCCAAGTGGCAAAACCAGCCCACCCCACACCATATCGTGTCGGAGCGAAGCGGGATGGGGTGGACCGAGCCCTACACGGATCGCGTGGCGCATGCGTTTTGCACCCAATTTTCGTCTCTCTCAACCTAACGGATGCTCATAATCACCACTTATTTATGCTAAGTCAGTGTTTAGTCAAATCTTATATGTGACTAAGGCAATGACACCTAGCATTTTATTTGAGCCTTAAGTTTTATTGATTTTAATTAAATATAAAATTTAGCAAATCCAAATTAAAATCCAACGCACATCTTTGATGCCATTGTCATAGTCATACCACTACTCAATCAAAATCCGAGACACACCTTTGAGGTCATACCAATACTTTTGTTTTGGGAAAAAATTCGTTGTAGGTTGGGAAAAATATCTACCTCCTTTGCAAAAAAAAAATTTGTTGAGTATCTTTTTTTTTTGCCTCTCGTCTAGGTACAGTTGTAGTATCTGCTCATGTACAGATATACACCAACCCTACACACACACATCATACTCACACCAAGCGTACACAAACAAACCTACAACTATAACAACAAAATATTATTGGGGGCGAACCCGGTGAGAGACCGGAAATTCGCAGCCACGGGGGCTCAAACTCCGGCCCGCGAGGTCCCAACCATCGGGCCTTGCCACCCGAGCTACGCTCGGTTCTCGCAAGGTTAGTATCTGCTGCATACTCATTTGCCGGCCCAAATCTAACACTATATGCCTCAAGCACAAACCATTGCGGTGGCGTGTTTGGATAATAGGATAGTCAAGGTGGGATAGATAAACGGAGGGTGGTGTAAATAATTTCCCACATTTGGTTGGTGGGATAGGGAAATGAACTGGGTTGAGGAAAGGGAAATGTGGCACTCATCTCCCACCGTTTCTATCCCATCGAGAGGGGTGGGTTATGCGCGGGTTACGGCGTTGGCGACGAATCGGTCGGAGCGGCGGCCGCCAACTCGCGCGTCGCCACCGCGCGCCGGCCGCCAGGGGCCAGACTGAAGCTGGATTCGCGCCTATCGCGGTGCCCGTTGCTCACCTCGCGCGGCCGCGCCCCCGGACCTGCACAGCTGCCGCTCGCGAAAAGCAGCTGCTTCACTCGCGCGGCTGTCGTAACCGCTGCTGGCCTCGCACCTGAGCCACCGCCACGCCACCGCCTGAGCTCCTCACCTCGCTGCCGACGCGGAGCCACCCTCACTTCACGCTCAGGTCCCAAGAGTAGCCGTCAACTCGCGGCGGCGGGCGCTTGATTTGCTTCTGTCGGGCAGGGAGATCAACGATGTGGATGGGGATGGCCGGCGGCGTGCAAGTAGCGCCGAATCCGAGTCCTCTCGGCCCGGATCCGGCGTCACCACGCCACGGATGCGTGCGGGATTGTGGGAGCGAAGGCGCCTGCTGGTTGCTGGATTCTCCGAGCAGATGCGTGTCGTGCTTTCGCTGGCGGCTTCCGGCGCCTACAAGTACTACTTCCGTCCGGTCCAGCAGGTCACGAGTAAGGAGGAAGATAGGCTAGAGAAATATGTTTTTTTTTAATAATTGACCTATCCCAAACCAAGTATCAAACACCGGTATGGGATAAAACATCTATAATATCACTTCAGCCCTTTGGTTTATTAATAAAAATTCTTCAAGAATGTCTTAAATTTGATTATATTTACACAAATTTTTTGAATAAAACGAGTGATCAAACTTGGACAAAAAAATCAAACGTCTTATAATTTGAAATGAAGGGAGTATGTTTTTTTTTAATAATTGACCTATCCCAAACCAAGTATCAAACACCGGTATGGGATAAAACATCTATAACCCATCTCATTTCCTCGACCCAAACCCACTAGCTATCCAAACGCCACTGCCTGTTTTCATCGTGTCGAGCCATCTTGCACTCTCCCCATTGCCGGCTTGCCAAACCCGAAAGAAATCCAGAGCCCAGACGGCCCAAATCATGACATCCACGAGCCGACCGCCGTCTGGGAGTGTTTTGTTCCCGCCGCGGCGCCCATCACCGCCTGCAGCTCGTACTGCCAGCGGTCGCCGGCCGCCGCAGATGCAGAATCCCAGCGGAACCATCCTCCAGCTCTACCACGCGGGCCGGCTTTCCGCCGCGCTCCGGGCCTTCGAGTCGCTCCCCTCCTCGCCCGCATCCGCATCCGCCCCCGACCGTCTCTCCCCCGCTGCCTATGCCGCGCTCGTCGCGGCCTGCTCCCGCCTCCGCTCCCTCCCGCAGGGGCGCCTTGTCCACCGTCACCTCCTTGCCTCCTCCGCTAGGGACCCATACCTCGCTCACAACACCATTCTCAGCAACCACCTCATCACCATGTACGGCCGCTGCGCCGCTCCAGACTCTGCCCGCGTGGTGTTCGACGGGATGCTCGACAGGAACCCCGTCTCCTGGGCCGCCGTTATCGCGGCGCATGCGCAGAACAGCCGTTGCGCCGACGCCATGGGCCTCTTCTCCTCCATGCTGCGGTCAGGGACCATGCCCGACCAGTTTGCACTTGGCAGTGCGGTCCGCGCGTGCGCGGAGCTTGGGGACTTGGGCCTAGGGAGGCAGGTGCATGCGCAGGCCATAAAATCGGAGAACGGAAGTGACCTGATCGTGCAGAACGCACTCGTCACCATGTACTCCAAGTGCGGCTCAGTTGGGGATGGATTCGTGCTCTTTGAGAGGATTAGGGACAAAGATTTGATCTCATGGGGGTCAATTATTGCCGGGCTTGCACAGCAAGGTTGTGGAATGGACGCACTACAAATTTTCAGGGAGATGATTGCTGAGGGCATGCATCACCCCAACGAGTTCCATTTTGGGAGCGTCTTTAGGGCCTGCTCTGTTGTTGTTAACAGTTTGGAGTATGGGGAGCAGATTCATGGTTTATCTGTCAAGTATATGTTGGACCGCGATTCATATGCAGGTTGCTCATTAAGTGACATGTATGCCCGTTGCAATAAGCTTGACTCGGCAAGGAAGGTGTTTTACAGAATTGAGTCACCTGATTTGGTTTCTTGGAATTCCTTAATAAATGCTTTCTCTGCTGAGGGGCTCCTTAGTGAGGCTATGGTCCTGTTCTCTGAGATGAGAGATTCTGGTCTGAGGCCTGATGGTATCACTGTTATGGCTTTGTTATGTGCGTGTGTTGGCTGTGATGCTTTACATCAAGGTAGATCCATCCACTCGTACTTGGTCAAATTAGGTTTAGGCGGGGATGTTATGGTGTGCAATTCTTTACTCAGCATGTATGCAAGGTGTTTGGATTTCCCCTCTGCAATGGATGTCTTTCACGAGACACATGATCGTGATGTTGTCACCTGGAACAGCATTCTTACTGCTTGTGTGCAGCACCAGCATCTGGAAGATGTATTTAAATTATTCAGCCTCTTGCACAGATCAATGCCAAGTCTGGATAGGATCAGTCTAAACAATGTTTTGAGTGCTTCTGCTGAGCTGGGTTACTTTGAAATGGTCAAACAGGTTCATGCATATGCCTTCAAGGTTGGACTGGTGGGTGATGCAATGCTAAGTAATGGTCTGATTGACACTTATGCTAAATGTGGAAGTTTAGATGATGCCAACAAGCTCTTTGAAATAATGGGCACCAGCCGTGATGTATTCTCTTGGAGCAGCTTGATTGTTGGTTATGCCCAATTTGGTTATGCAAAGGAAGCACTTGATTTATTTGCCAGGATGAGAAACCTTGGAGTCAAGCCAAATCATGTAACCTTTGTTGGTGTCCTCACAGCATGCAGTCGTGTAGGACTTGTTGATGAAGGCTGCTATTACTACAGTATTATGGAACCTGAATATGGCATTGTCCCAACGAGAGAGCATTGCTCATGTGTCCTTGATTTGTTGGCACGTGCTGGGAGACTAAGTGAGGCGGCAAAGTTTGTTGATCAAATGCCATTTGAACCTGATATTATAATGTGGAAGACTCTGCTAGCCGCTAGCAGAACACATAATGATGTCAAGATGGGGAAGAGGGCAGCAGAAGGTGTTTTAAATATTGATCCTTCTCATTCAGCAGCCTATGTCCTTTTGTGCAACATATATGCTTCATCTGGCAATTGGAATGAGTTTGCAAGATTGAAGAAGGATATGAGAACCAGCGGAGTCCAGAAATCACCTGGGAAGAGTTGGATTAAACTCAAGGGCGAGCTGAAAGTCTTTATTGTGGAAGACAGATCGCACCCAGAGTCTGATGAAATGTACACAATGCTGGAGCTAATTGGATTGGAAATGGTAAAAGCGGGTTATATCCCAGAACTTTCATGTCACTCATGTAAATATGTTAGTTCTGACCACACATATTATGATTTGCTGAGCGAAGAAATGTTAGCTGAATATGGTTGAGTCAGGTCACAACAGCCATTGCTGATTCCCTAGTTTTTTCTTTTACCATGTCACAAGGTTATTTTTGTCGATTGCCAAAGGAAATCAAGGTTCACTAGAATTGCACCACCAAATCTCGATAAGGTACTTGGTGCTTACCTTTGTGCTGCATTTTGATGATTCAGTAACAGCAGGTTGTGGATTTCCCTTTCCTAAATGAATGGAAGAAAAGGTATGGTGTTTTACCAGAAATTATCTGTTTCTTTGGTTCCGGACTCTGGTTTCTAGTTGAAAATACATGAGGGAGAAATGTTTTAACATTGTGGTTGAACTGTGTACATAGTAGTGAATCTGTGGAGGAAGCTACTGAAGTTGATGCTGCTGTTTCATAGCTGATGGCAGCTTCTTCTGCCGCCCCCTCAAACTCTGTAATGATTTCTTTTGTAATCTAGTTTCGAAAAGATAGCTGATGGCAGGTTATACCTGTTTGAAGTGCCACATATTTGTGTTGAGTAGGTTTCAAGCTAGTGAACAAGACACATGAAGTATCTGAATTCTTACAGAATAGTTAAAACCTTTGAATTTTTAATTTACTGTTCAGAAGCCCTGCCTTTTATGGGTAGCAGCTTGCTAGTACACTGCCTGAAAGGTGTTCGTACCAATACATTTCATGCAAGCAATTGTGATGATACATCTCTGACGTAGACCACTTTTACATAAATGAATCCACTTGGAGCAACCGAGGCATAATATTTTATCCTCTGTTTCTTTCACCTTGGAATTGGAACTGATTCTGATGGTAGACTGCAGATTTTATTGTGTACTTAGAGTAGCAGTTCAGAAGTGATCTATGGAATGTCCTCAAGATTTATTGTTTGATTTTGTTAGACTAGCTTGGTAAAGTAGAGAACTACATTTGCTAAAGTATAGTTTGAGATCTGCACTAGTAAAACTTCAGCTGGAACTGCTGTGTGTAGAATACAATCAAATAATAATCTTAATGTCAAAATATACATTCTCTACAAATTTTAAAATCTTCCTTTCCTAAAAAGGAAATCAAAAAAATGAAAAGAATGGCTCTCCAGGTCCATTAAATTCGAAGGGCAATTCATACTAGACCTAAACTACAAGAAAAGCCTTAGCAGTCGTGAGATAAACCATTTGCTTTCTTGGTGTCGTTGCTGTCTTTAGTTGCCAAAAGTGGTTCAGCCTCCTTATCTGGCATCTACATATACATCACCAAAAACATCAGAAAGGGTGAACTGAAAAAAGGTTGTACATATTAAATTGTACTTCAAGGACGATTTGGCAATTTTTGTTGCATATTTCATAATGTAAATTATGTTGCAGGCTTGCAGCTGTGTTGAGCATATTTGATATCCCATCCAGAAGCTAAAATAATTCACTACACATGTGCTTGTAGCGCACAACATTCCCTAAACATCACAAGGTCCAATCTGGTTCACAGTATTGGAGGCGCCATAATTTTTGTCTATCTGTACCATAGTACCATACTAATGCTTAATACTGATTCTGATCAGCGTGCCAATTCTATTCAAATCTAAAGTAATTTCATTTTTTTCAAATCAATGTTTATTTCATCGTGGTTATACCAAAATAGAAGATTCAACCACTACTGTATTTAATTTGATGAAATGGACTCTTGATTATTGCTGCCGAGTATAGGAAGCAGGAGAGTCATTGGCACGGCTGTTCTAGTCTTACACTTCTTTTATTCCATAAAAAACTATGTCTATGATAAAATGATTATTTTTTTTGAAAAAGATAAATATGAATTATAGGGCCTGATTGGTTTGCGACCAAAATTTGCCATGCCGAAGACTTGGCAAGCCAAAGTTTGGTAAAAAATTGCCATAGATTTGGCAAACCAAATGTGAGAAGTTGACAAGTTTTGGTTGCAAACCAAATAATAGCCATAATCATAGCTTGCCAAATCTTTGTGTGGGCATATTTTGGAAGCCAACCAATCAGGCCCATAATGCATGTTATTCAAGGATTGGAAAAAATAAAACCTGTGAAACTGGCAGAGCATCATTTGCTGACTTCTTCTTGCCCTCTCTTACAGAGAAGTAGGAGTACAGTGCCATCCCAAATATGGCAATTAGAATGCCCAATGCGTTCCTTAGAGTGAAAGGATCATGTAATAGAGTGTAGCCAAATGATAGAACCAGACATGTCTTAAGGTGACCAAGCACCTGGTATGTCACTGGGGATGTTGTTCCAATCACAAGAAATGTACTGAAGTTCACAGACACCGCAATCAAGCAAGATAGGACAATGAAACCCTGCATACAATTCATATAGAGTGGATCATTTTTCATTTCATTGTCAAATTTGAGGTATACATGAGATTCTTTTCCAATAGGCAAGAATATGATAAGAGAGTAATACCAACTTGAAAATGCTGTTATATTCTAGCAATATCTGCTGACGCCATTGTATGCTTGATTTTATTTTTAATTCTGTAGGTTACCGAACTATTTTACAGTACATAAAACATGTTTGCGTTTAAAGCGCTTTCACATGATTAAAGATCTACACACACATCAAATACCAATTATTTTCTTAGCAATCTTGCAGGTCTCAGAATTTTAATATTCTGCAAATTATGGAATTGGCTGGTTGTGTCTTAAATCAATTGAATTCCCTAAATAATTGCAAGAATACTATTTCATGTATTTAGGTAAAGTATTAAGATCATACCAGAACTGGAGCAGAGTATTTGTGTGCAAAGACACTCCGGTTAGTAAGGAGTTGATCCACAAAAGGACCAGTTGCAAACAGAATTGCCGCCTGGTAAGGCGCAGATTGGTACAGAAGCTGTGTTGAGGAGACCTTCAACCTCTTCTGTATCGTATTTGTGAGCTTCGTTCAAAAAAGATTTGGTTAAGGATTAGCATGTGGCACTGGTATATGAAGGATGTGGCAGATTCATGCCAAGCGATTCATAAAGTGGCTCAAACTAGAAGGTCTGTAAATAGCTTATAAGACTTTCAGTACTGGGTCCTTGTATGTTTTTTTAGTAATGAACTACTTTATCATGTACATTGCAATGAGAAGTGGGTTAAAAAGAACTAAAAATATTTGCTTTCACCTTACAGTTTTGAGACTATTGATTACTGTATTACTATAATGTAGGATACAATTTGGCCAACACAAGTGGTGGCAATGGCGAGGCCAGAAAGGACGGACCCAAGCAGATTTAGCTTGAGATCAGTAACTGAAGCAATTCCTACTCCAAGAAGTAAGACCAGAAGAGAAAGCTTGATACTCTCACTGCACATCATTGAATTGGTATTAGCTCAGTGAAAATAACAGTTAATACCACAGGGACCATTTAGGCTCAGAAAATGATAGACATATTTAATCAATCATTTGATCCAAGAGTTTATTTGGAAATATCTGAAACTTAATTGTTCTCCTGAATCAAAGTACAAAATGGATCAGAAGATTTCAGTGTTTTATTTCTCAAAAAAGGATTTCAGTGTTTACTTAAGTTATTTTCTATCATTCCTTTGACTGTAAATGAGGTCCGATATTGTGAGAAAATAGCTCAGTTTATATCTCGAACCTGAATCTTTTCTTCAAGAAGATAGTCTCCAATAGCACAGTGAAAGGTATGATCGCCAATTTTGTCATCTGTAGAACATACTAAGTTTAATGTATCTGCTCATGTTTTATATTAAACGGTACCTAGATGAGCTTACCTGGTAGAATCCAATGGAGTTGAATCCTAAACTCAGGTTGAGAAGGCCAATTGACGTGCCATTCAGCAACCCAAAGAGTATCACTGTCTGTCCATCAATTGCCTTGGGCTCGAAGAAATGTAAGCGCTGTGCCACATGGAGGGTGCAGAAGGTCACCATCAGATGCCAGCTTGTTAATGTTGTAGCTGCATTGGTTCATAAACAACACAAGACAAGTCAACATCACACTCTGATAAGTATGCAAATTTGGTGCATCCATGATGTTTTGTTATTCAAGGTCCATTGATGCATGGAAAAACAAAGTATGTTGTACTAACCGAATGGAAAACCAAGTGTGCTGATGAGAGCTTTGTTGCAGATGACAATGGCAACTGAAGATGCAACAGAGAGTGCAAGTGATCCGATCACACCAAGCTGGAAACCAGCTGACATCTTGACCAACTGGTGTTTCTCTGCTTGTCTTGATGTCTTCTGAATCCAAATCTGTAAAGAGTAGTCTAAGGTATGCATACTAAACTTGAGAAAATAAAGGCATATCAAGTTCATTCCCTGTGTCTGTTTGGCTTGAACTCATGGCTATTATACAACCATAGTCTTTTGTTAAAGTGATGCTGGCCATTTGTTATTATGATTTAGTAGTATTGAGCCATTGGTGCCCTAAATTCACTTGAGCACAGAACGGGTTGGATGGTTATTAGCATTTGACTATAGCATCCTTGTTGCCAGAACCCATGCATAAACCCATTGATTTTCGTTGTAGAATGCAAGGGGTGGTCATAATCTTAGCTGGCCTAAGCCCAATTCATGAACAAGAACAGTATATGGTATCCTTGAATCCCCTTTATTGCTGGTTATAGGGAAAAGGGATTGCATTTGTTCAATCTGGTGGAGATTCTCTTATACGCGTCACATGGACATCACAAAAACGTAAGCCTGGCACTTGGCTTGCCGCATATAATATGCTCACACCAAACAAGGCTAATCATGACCAAGTTGGTCATCACGAACGAATCACATAAAGCAACTAAGGCTAGTAAGTAGTAACACCCCATACCCCCACCCACCCACCTGCAACCGCCGCCGCAACATGCATTAAGGGGCAAATCAGTCATCGTAGGACGAAGGACTAAAGTTTAGCCTATGAATCTAAACAACTAGCCGGACTAAAGTTTATGGGCTAAAGTTTAGTCCATGGCAAATGGATCCTGCAGAGTTCGTCTGACTGCACATGTATATGCTGCTTTTATCTACCAAATGACTGTACATTGTACCCGACCTTACTTTTGAGTCAGTAGCTAGCCTTGTCTTATACTGTTGGCTTGTCCTATATTTTGGAGAGCTGGAGCCTACTACCTACTGGACTGCTACTGGGGACTGCTATTTGGGCCTTCATCTCGATTTCAACAAACTGTGTAATTAGTTATTTTTTTTAGGTTAAAATTGTGTGATGGACAATTTGTTGCATCTAAACAAGGCCTGGGCCTCAGATGCACAACAAACAGGTGGTTACAGTTGCTTTCAAATGATTCATAAGATTACCAAAAAAAAAAAAAATTGATTCATAAGATGACCGGAATAGAAGAAACTGAACACATGCATGGTCTTATGGTTATCCAATCCACCTCACGCTTCATGTGTTTGGTGGTCACTTATTATAATATATATTAATATGTTGCTTAAGAAGTAGCTTTGCATGGTTGGTAAGATCCAAGTGGTGGAGAAGGAAATTTGTTGGAACTGACCTTTTGTTGTAGTGGAAATGGATGGGAAATCCTAATGCATCAATCTCCGTGACAGAGGACTATGCTCTCTTTAGATTGATTCTTATTTCCTTCTGTTGCCAACTAAATTGATGGGAATTTGCAACCCAGATCAATTTGCCTTTTTTTTAAATAAAAAAAATAAAAAATCTGCCAATACTAAAAAGCCTAAGGTAGGGAGCTCATGTTGATGCAGATGTACGGGCTGAAAGGCTACTTGCATCTAACATAGCTAGCATTGCCGTAAAGGCATGGACAATACAAGTATACTTTTCCAGATGAAATAATAGCCACCCATAAAACGATGACCAGGGTTCCTAATATCATCTCGATGCTTTGGGATTCCTGATTTATTGCTTTTGTGTGCATTTTGTTCACATAGGCAGTTTGGCACATAGCGTGGGATCAACAAAGGCACATGCTAATAGCCTGCCGGACCAGGTAACTTTCAAATGCCTATTTCGTTAATTAATAAAAAGAACTTTCAAACTCCAACCGTGCTAATAACAGTATAAGCAAGGCCGTGAACATATATCTTAGAGAGAGAAAAAATCCACAAATTATCACGAATCAGGAGAAAATGAGAAGGATGTACTATGCTGTTCGGGTGGCTTCAGATTATGACAATACAAGTATACTTTTATAATGAATCTAGCCGGACAACAAGTATATTTTGATAATGCGCAGGCTTGTCAACAATCAAGTTTATGAATTACATTGTCAAAATTCAAAAGGCATAGAATGAAGAAATGAGCACAACAAATCGAAACCAGATACAAACCTCTTGTCACCGAGTCCACTAAACAGAAATCTAGAACCGACTAAATAAACATGGGCAGTGGGAAGCAAACAGCATTGATAGATAAAGATCAGACGACAGTCTGAATGAACTGGTGCTTGTTTGAGACTTGAGCTGTCGTAGCAACCTCTGTCTTCCCCTGCTCCCTGTTCCTTCCTCTTGTCGAGGTTCCAAGGAGAGAGAGAGAGAGAGAGAGAGGTGGCTGTTCGCCTATGAAGAGGAAGAGGAAGAGAGGGAGGGCGACGCACTTTTATGTCCAGAGTTTACAGGGGGGGAAGGTGCAGAGGCGCGCGCGCGTGTACGGTGGGCGCGGTTAGGCTGCTGCTTCGCTTGGATTGGATGCTGGTCAGTGGATGCTTCCTTGGCGAGCCTACAAGGCATCGTGCAACATGCCACCATGTTGTTGCTACTGGTGTATCGCGTAGGTACACGCATGCCGACCAGCAAAATGTTCTAGATTACCCGGCCTTGCATTGGGCCACCGCCAGCATAGAAAACGATGCTAGGAATAGTGAGGGAGTTGGTGCCGGAAAGATGAACCGCGACGTTGCAGGCAGGGTGCAGTATCGTAGAGGTGCAGCACGTCGAGACCACGACCATTTTCACTCACTGCCGAGTTTTAACCCGTGAGCGGTGGCAGGGTTAACAAGTATACTCTGTGGAGGCGCTCTCTCTTTGATCAGGTAACTGTGTCTTGTTGCCATGTTGTGGACAGTCAAATCTCTCTAATTATCAGCACCTGTTGTTACTCCGTGATGTACGGACTGATGAACCTTGACTGTAATGTAATAACCCATTAGACCATTTGTGGGAGAAAATTCGCATTGTGTGCCAAGACCCAAGAGTAAGAAGACTTCTGCTGATTGGTGGTTTGACATGTTGACACATTGTCCACCTGTTGTTACTCCGTGATGTACGGACTGATGAACCTTAGAGTTGACTGTAATGTAATAACCCATTGGACCATTTGTGGGAGAAAATTCGCATTGTGTGCCAAGACCCAAGAGTAAGAAGACTTCTGCTGACTGGTGGTTTAACATGTTGACACATTGTCATCAGTCAGATCGCTAATTGTGCGTGCCGCTTTCAGTTCTTCGAATTCCCTTGCGAAAGAATGTTTCCATCTCCCGTGGCGTTTTATAGTCCAGTTTTTTTTTATCTTGCCCTGATCTGGCACGATGGTCACTTGCTTTTGGTCACTTCTTGCCGTCACTCTTGGTTCCTTCTGCTGGAGCAAACCACCAGAGCGTATTTCTTTCCAATTACTTTACTTTACAAATGGAGGCAAGGACAGTGCGAAAAGGATCTTTTATCTCAACCGGCGGTGCGTCCAATGTATATAGCTCGAGAACATCAGAGCCTTAACATGAGTTCGCGCAATCAACAGTAACTTCAGTTCTAGTTCACCTGATAGGTTTGCAGATCACAGAGACAGTGCGACAAAAATATCCCACCATTTGCAGCTCATACCACTTTCTCGCTCAAAAAAGTTAGCAATAATCTATAGATTTTCTAAGGATCCTGCAATAGAACAACAACGCTTAGAAAGTAATGCAGGTGGTGCATCAGCTGAACCGAGCAACAGTCAACCTGCCAGATGCATCATGAGAGGGCCATTGCGACCTAAACCAACAGAGGTACATCCACCACTCCGAATAAAAATAAGCCACGCTAAAAAAAAAGGACCAAAGCTTGCTGTAGGCTCCAATAATTGACAAATAAAAATAAGAGGTGGTTTTCGGCACCTTGTTTGTTTTGTCACTTGGAGCACAAGGTTGGGAGGGAGGTGGTGGTTGTAAATAAAGCATGGGGGTTCCTGGGGATGCAAGCAAAGGCAATGGCCCAACAACTAAGCCGGAATGCCCCGTTTGGTGAACCTTCGGTCTCACTCTTTTTCTTGTGCCTGTACCGACGACCCCACAGCCAAACGCGCTATGTCTCTACTCCAAACAACCTTTTCGCAAATCCTAGCGGTTTATATTTTGAATTGAACTAGAACTCTAGAATACCCACGTGCGTTGCTATGAAAATCGTAGATAAAACTATACTACTTATATTTACTTATATGAATGAATAAATATCATAATACATGTTAGACTCTGATATGGAGTACTAAATATATATATGTTATTAGCTAGTGATGTGGTTTGCTAGTGTGTATAATCAAGATATAATTGCATGTGCTAGTGGATGCTGATATGAACAGTTTGTATGGCTTTTTTTTATGATACTAGAGGGGCCTAAGCCCCTACAGAGTTTATTGAAAAAACATAGTTACAAAAAATTACAAAGCTACAGACTTACAGAATATCGGCAACAAAAAAAAAAAAAAAACCAACAGATCAAGAGACAAAGAAGGAGCGAAAGAAAATGAGAAAGCTATCCTTGACTCTAGTTAAATCCAATTTTGTATCCATTGATTGTACATGAGGTATGTCTCTGCTTGCTCTCAGCAAAGTTAGAGCCAATTCTCTGTTAAAAGAGATCTTGCAGGTTTGGATGTTTGGACCAACTCCATTGAAAATTAAGTCATTCCTAGCTCACCAAATGGTCCAGCACATCAAGATCACAACATTCAAGTAGAAGTCTGAGTTTAACTGATCTCTGAGCATAAGAATCACTTCTCGGAAGGTTATCTGTGAATGAGTATTTAGGTTTAGGATACCCCAGCAAGACTTTGCAAATGGACAGTCCTGGAAGAGGTGAAAGAGGGTTTCCTCAGTTGCTAAATGGCATAAGCTCACAATTATAAGTCTCCAGGTGTATATTTTTTCTTTGAAGGATATTTCGTGTACTTAACATGTCATTTAGGAGCAACCAAAAACAGACCTTGTGTTTTGGTTGGCAGTATGTTTTCTAGAGCCATATGAAGA